ATCTATTTTGCTTTTTTTTTTCTTTCCTACAGAATACTTCAACGCCTAGATTCTACTTTTCCGATTGAAGCGAATGCTGCTATATTTGCAGCAGACAAGTTATGCGCTAAATCTGAAAAATTTTCTGTCATTTTATGTGATCAACTAGAAACAAAATTTCAATCTAGTGACCTACCGATGGCATTTAGAATAAAATTAATACGTATATTACGGCATATGCATTGGGAAATAAGTCTGTCTCATAAATCAAGAAATATATGCCTTCAAATGCTTGAACAAAGTTCTGATGGAAAAACGCAGTCAGCCATCTTGAGAACGTTGACATTATTATCTTGTCGTGCACTTGTTGACAGATCTGATCAAGTAGAGTTATTGCTCGAGTATGCAATTAACGGTTCGGATGAATGTGTGAGAAGTAGTGTATTGGTTGATTTATTGAATTTAGCTAAAAAAGATTCAAATTTCAGTATTTCACATGCCTTGAGATTATTAAATTTAATAGTTAGCGCATCAGAGCAAATAATCAAAGTTAAGGCACTACGTACATTGACGGTCTTGATTAAACGTGGAAGATTACTCGCTGACCTTTTGTCACAAGGATCAGATCAAGACTTATGCATCGAAGCTCTTCATTATATTCAAAATTGTGAAGATATGATTCACCATATTACTGGTGAAGTAAGCATCGTTGCTGCTCAATTTTGTACTGAACTTGTCATAGAAACACGACGCATTGTATTGCATACAAATATTTCAATTTGGGAAGAATGGAATACATACGTTGGAGAACTTTCTTCAAAAATCCAATCGTCAATACTATCGATTATTGTTGGATTAATGCAGATTTCAGATATAAATGCATCAGATCGTGATATTCGCAGGAAAATCATCAAAAAGTATCTTAAATTCCTTTTTTCAATGAGTTTGTCAGATGACACAATGGCTTTAAATGGGTCAAGATCTATTATTAAAATAATAAAAGAATATATTGTAACGAAAAATGACGATATTCTTGCCGAAGTATCTAAATTTATCTTAATGGTTGGTAAACTTAGGAGATCAATAATTCAAACGTTAATGCAAGATTTAATGGCAGTCCTGAAATCAGGTGATCTTTTGCAAACGCCACAATCGTTCACTCTCTTGACAAAAACTGCATTAAAAGCTCCCCCCTGAAACTAGCGCAGAAGCAGAAAGTTTTCAACAAGAGATCATTGCAACAATTAAAAATTTCGGTCAATCTGATGGAAACACAGTTTGTAACAATCAATGGAACATTTATTTGATTGGTGTTGATGCTGGAAAATCTGGATGTTTTTCTGTCATGGCGAGTATTATGCAATTCTTTGTTACATCCGTTGACGTAGACGCCTCAAGATATTGGTTGAGGGCTCTGATTAATATCGCAACAGCAGAAAAAGGAATAGTTATGAAAGTGGG